CGGTGGCGGTGGCGGTGGCGGCGGCGGCGGCGGCGGCGGCGGCGGCGGCGGCGGCGGCGGTGGCGGCGGCGGCGGCGGTGGTATTTGGGAACAAGTCCCTTTTCCTACAGCAGTTGCAGCGATTACTCCCTAACGCATGGAGTTAGGTATCGAAAGTATGTACTCGAATAACCTCGACGGAGTTTTGTTGCACAAGCACCTGGATGCCACACAATAGTGTACATATAGGGTTGTGATCCAGAAAGAGAGTCCAGCTTAAAGACTTTTTCCTGGCCTATCAAAGGTAGGCCAGGTTGTAAGAAGAACTATAACGCTCAGGAAGTGAAATCAAAATGTTCGCGGATAAGAAGTGGAGCGCAGGGTAGAGGTAAAAGTCGCTGAAAGAGAAATTGCACATGGGGAAGGCATATGTATATATTTATTTTCATTGCAATTCACAGTACTCTAATTTAACTCTGATGGTGGATTCAAGCGTTAATCCGGAAAGCCACGCAATTGTGTCTCTCTCATGCTGAATTTGATTCAGGGGTAGCTAGCTGTAGAAAAGCTGCACAGTATCAACAGAGCTGCAGGCGAAATTTTACGGCACTAAACCAGCAACCAGAAAGATGACTATGCAGGCCGATAATGCAAAGCAGGCGAGGGATACATGTGTGCATGTGTAGGAAAGTAGCCTCAATTAGCATATCTTCGGCGCACGTTGGTCAGACTGATCAACAGTCTTGTTTTCGCCTGCGATCAAGACAGAATGTTCTCAAAAGTTTGCACCCGGATCAAGAACAACGACTGTTTGCTTTCCGTAAAAGCATCGGACACTGGAAAAGAAGCCACACTTCACGGAAAATTCTTTTACCACTACCGATGCTAGAGTATACTCCCTTTCAGGGACTGCAGAATGCCTTAAGCCGCTGGAGACCTCTCAACAAATGACGCGTTTTGAGACAATGGACTACATACTTCTGGTAAGAGATAAAGTCGGAATTACATGAGCCTGGCAGTCATCTGGTGGATTCTAGGTGAATTACTTGGGAAATCCTGCTTGGGCAGTCAGCTTGCTGGATCAGATTTGGTGGATTCCAGACGTTGCAGTAGGTTGGGTAAGTAACTTGACCCAAATGTGATTAAACTTTCGTCGTCCGGCGGGGCCTCGTAGCTCAAGTGGTTGGAGCGTTGGCTGTACCAAAGCCTTCCCCTTGTCGAAAGGTTGTGTGGTCGACAAGATAAAGATTCCCAATCAAAAGTCAGGGAGGACGGTTTGAGTTGGACAACCTTTACTGCCTGAGGAAGTGCGTACACAAGGGCTCTGTAGGCAGTCGCCGCGAGCGCGCTCCAAGCAAGCTGTTGTCTGTGGCCGCCTTCGAGGTGTTGTGTCAGCGCGTGTGTGCGCCCTTCGTTTTCTCAATCTCGCCAGCCAATCAGAGTGGGGGCAGCGGTGATTGGGTTCGAGCACTCGCGCAACCCATCAGCGCATCGACAAGGAGTGTGAGGCGGACAGGAGGGCAGCGTGACAAAGACGGAAAGCGAGGAGACGCGAACTGCTACAGTACCCCCCTTGCTAGACCGAAGGTGGCGCGTAGCGATACCGGAGGAACTGTTGATGTCTAAAAAACATGAGTAACGAAACGGTCAGGAAAGTGAACATGGCGTCCACTTCGGGTGATATATACAAGGGGCACAGGAGTAGAGTGAGTATGGCTCTCGGTTACAGTGTTGTTGGTTGATGAAGGAGTAGTTGGAGTTGAGGGTTGCGGACATGAGGGCAGAGGAGGTACACGGGACGGAGGGATAGAGGGTCGGGGAGGCGGAGCAGGGGTAGGGGACCACAGGGCTCATCCGAAGGAGTGTCCGGGACGGCAGCTTTGAGACGGTCCACGCTCACGACCTCCTCGCGATTGCCGCGTTGTATGTGGAAGTTCTTCGTCCCCCGAGAGATAACTCGGATGGGGCCATCGTAGGGTGGTTCCAGGGGCCGGCGGACTCGAACACATCGGAGATAGACGTGAGAGCATGTCGCCAAATCTTTCTCGAGGTAAGATTCCGAGACGGATGGCCTGCGCGGAACCGGAGAAAGTGTCCGCATAAACTGCCGGAGGCGATGCAGGAGGTTGATAAGATCCTCAACCGCACCTTGTGGGGTTGGCAAGATCATCTCACCGGGGAGTCGGACGGTGGCGCCGAACACCAGTTCAGCTGCGGAACAATCAAGGTCCGGCTTCAGAGCGGAGCGGATGCCCAAGAGGACCAGGAGAAGGTGGTCTGTCCAGTTCTCCGGATCGGCCGCGGCGCGTAGGGAGGCCTTCAGCTGGCGGTGAAACCGCTCGACCATCCCGTTGGCTGCCGGATGATAGGCTGTAGTGCGGATGCGAGTACAGCCTAAAAAGGAGAGTAAAGACTGGAAGAGGTTAGACTCAAATTGGGCACCACGGTCAGTCGTGATAATGGAGGGAGCACCAAACATGGCAACCCAACGACTGAGGAAAGCCTTGACGACCGTTGGAGCTGCGACATCAGGCAGTGGAATAGCTTCCGGCCACTGGGTGAATCGATCCACGCAGGTAAGGAGATAGGAGCAGCCATTGGACAGAGGCAGGGGGCCTACGATGTCCAGGTGGATATGACTGAACCGTGCGTCCGGAGTAGGGAAGGTGCCAATGGGAGTTTTGTTGTGCCGCTGGATCTTGCTCCGTTGACAGGCGATGCAAGCCCGTGTCCATGTCGTGAGGTCCTTGTGCATACCAGGCCAGACGAAGCGGTCGGAAACCAGCTTGTCGGTTGCTCGACTCCCAGGGTGAGAGAGATTGTGCAGGGAGGAGAAAACTTTGCGGCGGAGAGATGGTGGTACAAATGGACGATGGGAAGGGGTGGATACGTCGCATAAGATGGTGCCGTTGCTAGTTGTCTGTGGTAGTTCCTGAAGTTGGAGTCCGGAAACATCCTCATCACAGGGTGGACCGACACGGCGTTGTTCAGCGGCCATCTCAGCGAGGTCTATCCCGGGTGAAAGCTGAAGATGAGCAATAGAGGGCCTTGAGAGTGCGTCAGCCACCTCATTCCGCGACCCGTCAATATGGCGGATGTCTGAAGTGACCTGCGAAAAGTAGTCCAGGTGACGGATCTCCCGGGGGCTTATCTTGTCAGAGTGGGAATGTATTGCAAACGTGAGTGGCTTATGATCAGTGAAAATTGTGAACTCTCGACCTTCGAGTAAATGCCGGAAGTGCCTTACGGCAAGATAAGCGGCGAGAAGTTCACGTCCGAATGTGCTGTAGCGGGTTTCGGCCTTGGATAGTTTCTTGGAGAAGAAAGCCAAAGGCATGGTAGAATCCGGCAGACTTTGTTGAAGAACCGCGCCAACAGCAACATTGGAGGCATCGACCATCAAAGATATGGGTGCATCAGCGTGAAAGTGAGTCAGGAGGGTGGCGTCAGCCAGAAGGGCTTTTACCTGCTCAAATGACGTGAGTGCGGCTGATGTAAGTTCAAAGGTGCGTTTAGAACCTGAGAGGAGATTGGTCAGAGGTAGGATGGTATCGGCACAGTTCGGGAAAAACCGGCGATAAAAGTTCACCATACTAAGAAACCGTTGCAACTGACGCTTCGAGGTAGGGGGTGGAAAGTCCCGAATGGCGGCAACCTTTGAGGGAAGAGGGCGAATGCCGTGGGAGTCGACCAGATGACCGAGAAATTCTAGTAGGGAGGGCACACCGAAGACGCACTTGGACGGGTTGAGAACAACGCCAAGCAGAACAACAACTGTGGTGAGGTACCTAACTAATTCACCTTTGACAATTTGGTCCCTTTTTCTTTGACCGCATTGCTTGTTTGAATGTGACGTAAAAACGACACACCGGCACAACCCGCCTTGCTAGCGTGCTCTGCAGTGGTATTCTGTTGTCAGTTTTCTTAACGTTCAAAAACTTCTATATTATTCACTGCTCCGATTTACTTGCTGCATTTAAGACTAGGGGCTCGTGGGATATAACTCGTTAGTTCGTGGGAACATTACAATTTACAACACCCTTACTAAGTGAGTTCGAATCCCACGGAGGTGCTGAGTTTTTGACAGTTTGATCTGTATTAAAGTCGGAAGGACCACAATCGGTCCGCCTTGCCAATCCCACTTATTGCAATATTGTACTGTAGATTTTACATGGGTTAGGCAGGCTTATAGCTAATCAGTCGCGGCAGCTTAAGCCACAGGCCGACCATGGCCACTACGAACTTAAAGCCTGGCCGGGAATAGAAAAAGAAGTTGGGTGCCAGTTGAGAAGAGATGGTGTATTCTGCAGAGAATACACGTCCAATGCCGAAGTAGCAGTTCCACTTCCCCCCGCAGTGACGGTGGGGCAGCCGTCTCAGCGGCTTTAGTAGGGCAGATATGAGTCGACCCTGACGTTGATAGATTCGTTTGCATAGCTTTGATTGACCAAGAACCGGACTGCCATTGGTACGAGCGCAGGGGTACGCACGAGGTGTAGCGCTGTAAAAGAAACTCGTGGCAAAGATACTACAAATACTCCTCGCCTACTTGAAATTGTCTTGCGACAGTTCGCCTGTCGCATCCGACGGTGTCCACCGTGTGCTCCACAGCAAGGTGAAGCAGGCGCGGTGACTTGCGCGTGATTTAGTTTGTAGTGAATGTAGACTTCCTCTGCATCTACCGCACTTTCCCTTCCTGCCCCCTTGGACCCGGTTGCAAGATAAATTCAAGAAGACAGGAGGCGGGTGAGGGCGCAGGTGGGTGGCGCGGTCGAGTCCGCACCTTGGTGTCCCACTCCATACCCTCTGGTCCACACAACAAATGACCTGGATTCTAACCAACAACGAAAAGCGGTCGGCACGGTCGGAACCGCACCCAGGCGTGCTGCCACACCCGATTCTAATCCCACGCAGTGGGAGTGCCATAAATGCCACATTAAGAAGGGGTCATTGCAGCCTGACTCTTAGATCAACAGTCGGCCGCCCCACACAAACAAATAACACTGGGCTGACTAGGAAGTCCAAGTTATCCCGTCAGTTTGCAACCTGCGAAGCCACAGCTTTTGGCGCACGTGGATAGCTTCAAGCGCGACAAATTTTTTATAGTGAGGAAAATGCGCTGAGTCGTCGACCTCACTCTGCCTTCCCATTCTCAGGCACAAGCCACTGTCCGAGCCGGTCAGTTGACAGGCGCGGGGTATGGGCGCCGTGGCTGACACATCTAGTGACCTTTTCTGCGCGCACCACATGCACGGCCTGGCGCCCCAAACACAAGCGCCAGAATTTCACACAACGGGGCTTGGGCGGCATGCATCTCACATGCGTGGGAGTGTCACTTAAGGAGTCGTTTCAGTCTGGCTCTCAGCCCACCAGTCCGCACTCCAGACAGATGGACAGACACACACACACACATACACACACACAACTGGGCAGACTGCATGGACTGAGTTGGGCATCAGTCAGCAACCTTCCATGGCACGACGCTCGACACACCGTGATAGTCTCAGACTCGAATAACACATGCAGTTGAAGAGCCGCATGGAGACGGAGCAGAGACGCACACTTCCCACCTGCGTGGGAGGTGGCGATTGGATGCTTGTGATTGGTGATGTTGTGTAATGTAGGTGGGGGAAGATGTGATGCTGTGGTTTAACCGGCAGTTGTCTACTTCAGGTTTTCGTAGATGCGCATGTGACCTAATAGGCCCATGCGTTGGGTGAAGGTGCAGGTGTAGTGAGAGCAGTTGAGGCGGGTGCGGGGAGTGTATGTGGGTACTCCATGCACTGGTTCGCCGGTCTCCGTGCGATGAACTTGCAAGTGACTCAGCAGGCCGATGTTTGAGGTGAGTATACGGAGACCGCGTGGGCAGGATAGATCGATGGTGCCAGATTCGGTTTCAATTATGGTGGCGGCGGTGGAGCTGCTGGTGGTGGGCGCAGTGCACAGCGATGTGTGGGTTGGGATAGGTATGGCAATAGACCTTGACCACTTTCTCACTTTCTCTTCTAAACGCCCTATATCCCACCCGCCAGCACGCGAACCCCGCATACATTTGCAGCTCTTCGTCTGGCGACTGTGTATTGTAAGGATGTTCTGCATTTTTGATCAGACTCTGGGTTGCCCTTTTTACGAAGTGGAGTAAATTCTTCGAAGCGCAGCTATTTCGCTTGCTCTGGAAGCTGTTATGAATATTTGGGCTGAAATCCATCAGGTTCTGTGAACTAGCTGTGTAATATTCGAAAACTACCAACAGGACGTCAGTGGCATGCAAATACTGATTAAACTCTTGACCATAATGCCACAAAGTTAATATCCGCGAGATTAAGCCTAAGGGAATTGTATAAGCTCATAATATTCGAAAATAGGTCGAAGTTAACAGCACTTTTTCCAGATCTTTTCAGATTTTTTCCAGATTTTTTCAGATTTTTTAGGATTTAAACTTTTAGTGCGTTGACCGGAAAGAACTCCTTATATCCTACGGAGTCCGCGCTCTTTTCATTTATTCGGCGGATTATTAAGCCACTTCTGAAATGATTCTTAACCGGGTATAATACGGTAAAGTAGACGAAAATGCCAGTGACCTCCGCTCAGCGATGTATTCCATAGCAACCCAACACTAGACTGAATTTAAAGAAAGTCCTGTTATCTTTTTTGGAACTGTCGTCTGTTATTTGTTATACGTTGCCTGAAACCATGGCAACGCCTGACAACACCATGCATCGTCAACACATTCAGAGTTTAAAACAGGCTATTAGCGCTATGAAGCCAGCTCTGAAGGGCAGATGCACAATCAACTTTTACGATGATAACACACAAGAGAGCCACGGTAATAAACAAACCGAGGGCGTGAGATGATACAAAACTTTTCACGCCCATTTTTCACCTAAAGATACATAGTCAGAGTAGTCCACTATTGAAATCACCATGATAAGCGGTTAACAGGAAATGCGATACTACTATTTTTAAACTGTAAGTTGCCTGGTAGATGCCATCGGAGTAAGATCAGCGCGGAGAAGATTCGAATCCCGGGCAATCTGGAGAACAGGCAGCCTGCTACCAACTATGCAGCTATACAAAACACAAGTAACGGGTGCACAAGTTAAATCAGGCTCCGAAACTCGTGAGACACTAGCGGATATCGTTATTTAAACTTTAAAGAAGGAAATATTACATATATACATATGTATATATACATATGTATTATAGGCAGAATGGTATTACCGACAACGACAAGGGAGACTGAAATGGCCATTTCTGGCTTATTAGCCGTCGTCAGCCAGCCATACCCAAGCCCGAAGCGCGAGTTCGAGGCTCGGGTGTTCCACACTTCGGGCTTGGGTATGGCTGGCTGACGACGGCTAATAAGCCAGAAATGGCCATTCCAGTCTCCCTTGTCTTTGTCGGTAATACCATTCTGCCTATATATCATGCGCCGCTGTGCGGCTGCTGGTTGGGCTCGAGAGAGAGTCCATAAGGCACAACGGAACGAGGGAGTTCCGTATGAACGATCGGTGAGCGCCCCTAACATTGCATATGTATTATATTATATATATAATACATACATATATATTACATATATATATATATATATGTTATTACAACAGTATGCATCACGGAACGTAGTATTCGTCGTCAGCCAGCCATACCCAATCGCAGGATTTTGCCGCACCCGACCCTCTAAGCCCCGATATTTGACCATCAGGCGTTATTAGATCTAACGTTCTAACCATGGAAACGGGACTCGTTGTCCTTTTTGTTACCATCGGAAATATTGACTTAGGTTGGCAGTACCTCCACCGATTGGACTACGGGACATGCTCAACCCGTTGTGCCCCGGGGCTCGATGTAGAATTCTTGAAGGCAGTCGAACAGTGACCAGAAATTTATGTTGAAATGTGTTCCGATCAAGATAAGGGAAGCTGAGATGGTCATTTCTGGCCTATTAACTGTCGTCAGACGCAGCTGAGCCTCAAACCCGTATTATGAGTTTCAAAGCTCTAACTACCGAACCGCGGACTTCACAGTGAGGCTCAAGACACACAGGGATGGGCATGTCCCGTAAGCTGATCGGTGAACGATTTTCCAACACGAGTTAATATGTACCAAATTAATTCACATTCGGCATTCACTTGATAGTTTCTGACCGAGTCTTCCCGGTTCTCAGAAATAAACACATTCGGAAAACATGTGCTAAATAAGAAGTGTAAATATAATCAGCTGATTTTAGATCACTTTACATGATTAAACATGCGAAGGATATGCCATCTCATGTAATTTTAACCAAAATTCTGAAACATGTCCTCGACTCGAAAAGACTGCTTAAGCAGGGCTGTAATACTAATTAATTCGTAGTAAAATGCTGAAACATTTCAATTACGCCAGGATACCGGCCTTCGAATGGGCCTCTTTCCAGCCGTCTACAAAAACTACACTCTGGTAATAATGACTACTTCTGTAGTATGAAATTTTTGCTGATTTTCGACGCCCTTATGAATTCAATTATATTTCATAGAAAACATTCACGAACTGGGCGTTTTTTTACATACTTGGTAGCAACTTACGTCTTCTTTAAATTTTATACACAGAGAAAAG